GAATGGAGAGGTTTGATCGAGTCTTGAGATAAATTATGACCAAGATAATTCACATTAGTCTGGAACAATTTTGATTTTTCAAAGTTCAATTTTATGTTTTCAGCAGCAACAGCAGAGAAAAGTTGAGAGAGATGGTCGAGATGAATTTGGAGAGATGGAGAGAAAACAATAATGTCATCAATATAATTGTGACAAAACTTAGTCAGTTGGTGTTTCTCCAGGATGTTACGGATTGACCTTTGAAAGATGGCAGGAGCGTTTTTCAATCCAAACGGCATAACCAGCCATTCATAATGACCATGTTGAGTGACAAAGGCGGTCTTATGAATGTCCTTCTCTCTGACTTTTATGTGCCAAAATCCGGACCTAATATCGAAGACACTAAAGAACTTACTCCCGTAGAGGGAATCAATAATGTCCTCAATCCTTGGCATCGGATATTTATCAGCGAGCATCTTATCGTTGAGTTTACGATAGTCGATGCAGAAGCAGGTTTATCGTTGTCTTCCTCTTGAAGGCCAACGTAACAGGTGAAGCATAAGATGAGTGAGATGGACGGATCAACTTTGCTTCCAGCAGAGATTTAACTTCAGCGACAATTCGATCTTCACGTAAAGTACGATAAGGTTTCGAATTGATGGAATTTCAGTATCAATTCGACGATACATTCGACATCCTTTAATTGACCCATGTCGAATTTCCCTTCAGCAAATACCCCTTTGTATTTTGTCAGCAGCTTCAGCATAGCGGGATTGATACTATCAGCATGTACCTGATCAGCAGCAACTAATTTGGTTTTTAGGTCCAAATAAAAGTTATCATTCAGCTTCAGCGGTAGAGGAATCAGTTTGATGGTTGTTGGTTCAACAGGAGCAGCAAGAGTTTGTTTGATTTGGTAATCAGCGTCACACTTAAGATTGAACTTCCAAATTAAGTCCAATCCCAGCAGAAGATCAACACAGAGTAGGTTGGTGACGTAAGCAAAAATAAGGTGAGTAAATGATCCAATGGTTAAATTAAATTTGGCGAGACTTGAAATTTCCCCTTCCCCAGTCATAGTTGAAAAACTTGAACCATTAAATTGAATTGATTTAAGATTCAATTGATCAACAATTGATTTATTAATTAAAGTGATGTTAGAGCCTGGGTCATAGAGTACAGAGATTGGATCAGCATTGATTAAACCAGGAATAAGGAGGTGAGAGGGTTTGTTTTCAAGTCTCCCAATTAATTTAAATTATTTTGGTGTTGGGAGGAATCAGCGGAATTGGTATTGGAATCATCAGCTCGAACGAAGTTGACCTTGGTTTGTTTTCCTTTCTTTATTGGACAATCTTCGGACCAATGGTACTGATCGGGTTTACCATTATTGATACAAGTCCAGCAAGAGCTTTTTGGCAGACGTTTGACGAAAGGTTTATCGGTGTTTTGGCCTTGACCTCGTTGATGGTTGTTAAATGATCTCTTATCATTCCCTCGAGGTTTACCTTGGTGATTGGGACGATGAGTGTTCACATGACCACTACCTTGTTGGTTGGAGTAGCTACGATTGCCTCTAGCGAGTTGACTCTCAGCAGTTTTAGCGATTGTGAAAAACTGGTCATAAGTTTTAACACGGTGTCCAAGAAAACAATCATGTAATCTACCTGTTAGATTATCAATCATGATGGTGACAGCGTGATCTTCAGAGACACCAGCTTTATTGGCCAATCGTCGTTTCGATTCGAAGTAGTCAACGACATCCTTACATTGATCGAACTTTAGGTGGAGAAATTCGAGTATTGGCTCAACAGTCTTGATACCAAAGCGATTGATCAGTTTCATTTTCATTTCAGACCATGATGAAGTATCTCTCTCACAAAGGTAAAAGTCTAGAGGATCTTCATCAAGATACTCACTAAGGAGATCCAGCATTTCGTCTTCGGACCAATTGTATCGGACACCAGCAGACTCGAAGAGTTTAATCCAATTTTCAATTGAAACATTGGGTTTCAAGCCAGTAAAGATCTTTAATCGTGGTCGATAAATTGGTTTCCGGTAGTAGTATTGTTCAGCGGGAGATGAGATCGATTCATCTTGATCAAATTGATCATCAGCCATGGTTAACTAATGATTCAACCCGTTTACCTTCAATTAATCTACTGATTCCTTTATTAATAAAAGTAACCAGTAGAGAAAATCCAGTAAACAGGAATGAACAAAAGTAACAGGTAACAGCAAAAGATTATCACCGACAGATGATAATCCTGTCGACTTATAAGGTGGGACAGCAGCAGCAAGAGTAACAGCCAGAAATTCAGCAATGGAAACGATTAGTTTAATTTCTCAAATATGAATTCCAAATTAATTCACTTCCTTGGAAATAAACCAAATCGTTACCTGAAATTAAATTAATTAACTAAATCAACTTGATTTAAAATTAAATACAAATTAACTTTATTAAATTAAATTAAAATCAAACATATTAATTAGTTGAACCATCACCATCAAAAGCTAATGATTGATTGACCTTGTTGTTGTTGTTGTTGTTTACCATCATCATCAACAATGAAATCAATTAATAAAAATGATCATTGTTGTTAATCAACAATCAACAATTAAATCAAATGTTGTTTACAAAACAACCACAATAAGCGCCATCCAAAATTTACAACAATTAATTAATTAAGAAAATTAAATGTAGGGGAAAAGTAGGAGAGAAGAAAAAATTAAGCAAAAAAGAGAAATGAAAGAGAAAGGAAGAGAATCAAATCAAAGGAAAGAGAAAGAGGAATTAATATCCCTTTGATTTTCTTTCTCCAATTTCTTCTTTACATTACACATATTTGAATGGTTTGCCCTGAAATGATTTAATGACACTGATTAGTTTCCAAGATTGGCTTTTTCAATGTTCAATCAACAAGCGGGAAAAAAATTTAATTTTATGTTTAATTTGATGATTGAAAATTGTAATTGTGATGATTTGTTGGGTTTCACTGTTCATGGAACCAATTTGATTTGATTTTATCCAATTATTTTCTTATTTATCATTTTCTGTTTTTGATTTAATTTCATTGAGAAATTTTCAGCAATTAGCATTTGATAATGTAATCATCATGTAAATCACTAACTAAATTTCAACTCACATATCGCCAAGGATATGGGGGGGGGTTGATACAGTTACTCCTTTCATGATGATCACATTTCATAATTACTCTTAATAAATCATTAACGCTCTAGACTGATAATGAAATAATGATTAACTGTGAGATCACATTTAGATCAAGGTGAAAATCAGAACGAGCTTCAGAGCTTGGTGAAAAACAGAAAGTTCATAAATGATCAGCTTAATCAGTAAATAGAAAAGGAAAGATGTTCAGTTGGTGATAAGTAAGGTAGAGACGATAAGAGAGATGAGGACAAGGGATGAATTTTACTCTAATGAAATAATGATTAGGATGGGAGAGTAAAGGGATGAAATCTCATTAATCTACTGAAGATGCAGAGTTTGGGGTGAGAAAAAAGGACGAGGGTGGAAAAAGGAAGAGAGGAAGAGAGGGAGGGAGAGAGAAGGGATAAACTCAATTGAAAGAGTAACATCATTAAAAACACCGTGATCTTTATTTCTCATCTTTCATCATCTGATTCTTTTCCTCCTCCAATCCAATAGATTGGGTAGAAAGTGTAACCTTCATGTGGCCCAATCTAACAAATTAACTTCCCAAAAATTGTTCTTTTCTATTTTCTCTCATCTTCCTCGTCATCTGTTACGTGCCTTTCACTTTACCAATGAACTTTATACTTTGTTCACCAATGAAGTTCAATCGAATGTGGAAGATGATGTTCTTCCTCTCTCTCTCTCTCTCTCTCTCTCTCTCTCTCTCTCTCTCTCTCTCTCTCTCTCTCTATTTCTTTCTATTTTTGTAAACTTAGCATCTGAGGTAATAATAATTCTGTTAATAGTGACGATGATAATGATTCCATTTCTGTGTTACCTTCAATGTCCATAGATACAGTAGGAGATAAAGAGACTCACTTGTGAACGAAAGAATGTAATATGAAGTGAACATGAGACATTGTTGACTCTGATTCGTTGAGTTTTCTTGATAATAGATAATATTATCTTATCATGTTATCACCAGAATCTCATCTCATACTCTTAAGACTTTAATTCAACATTCAGCAAAAAGCCAGAATCCTGAGGAGAAGGGAAAATGTTTCATCTCTTAACTCCATCCATTCATTTGTTCAATTATGTCAATACAATGTGTAATAATACAATAACTCTCATAATAATGATAATGATAAAATATTAGTAATAACATTTCAACAGATCAAAAAGTTATTTCAAATAAGTTTACCATGAAGAAGTAGGAAAAGTTCAGAGCCATTGATGATAATAATTGTACCTGAGTGAATTGAATCACAAAGGACAATTTATCCTCATCTTTCATGTAATATTATCATTCAATTAAAGGCAAATTAACTTTTCCCTCCACTCAAATTGAATTTTAACCATAATTTTGATCTGAAGAAATAATTTAATTTTCTCAGTTTGATTCCGGAATGAATTTTCAATATTATTGGACTCCTGAAATATTAATATTTACTCATTAAAATGTAACTCAATTGTATTGATTACATGAAAATAACTTTACTATCAATTGATGATCATTGAACTTTTTTTCCTCATTTGATTGTTAATACAGAATTAGATTGAAACTATTCACATATTCAGACAATTGATTGATTAAAGTTTTGTTTACCTCTGAGATTGTCTCGTTTACACCATTCTAATTTTAGATTTACATGGTTCACCTCAATCACAATTAAAAATCAAGGTTAAAACTTGAAATTAATTTTAATTAGATTGGAAACTTGAAGTTATTCACATGGGAAAACATATTCAATATTGAGTTAAACATGTGAATGAAATATTTGATTGACATTTGTTTATTTATCCATCATAATCAATCTGATTTGAATTATTAAAAAATTAATAATAATTTGACAAGACTCACTTTTCAGCTGATGGGCTTATTTGTGTATTTGATTTCTCAGGTAATATTTTATCTCTCTGGTTCCTGGTTATTTGATTTAGCATTTTTTGTAATAGATCAGATAGAAAATTGAACTTTGATAATTTAGTCCATGTAATGGATGAAATTAGAATGAAGGAAAAATATGATGATGAAGAAAAAAACGAGAGAAAAAGTTATTACAAAGTTATCGAGATAACATTTTCCTCAGCAACTTGAGAATTTCATTTTTCCATCATGATTAATTGACTATTCTGTTATATAGTAAATAATTAATTAAGCTAATTTACCTCATCAATAGCAAGATTTGGGTTAACAACAACAGGAAGCATCGCAGGCATTATTTTAATTGCCAAAATATCCTCTTCAATACCAAACTTTTGATCGGTTAACAGGCGCATATACATTCCTGTTGAAAGTCAACAATTAATTAGCAACAATTAACCTTAATTTAGATTGTTTCTATTACTTACTAGCAATAGGCATAACCACGGCAGGATCGGTTGGTTTAATTTCACCAAGAACAGGTAGTACTTCAAGAACAATTTGATTCTTATCCAATTTATCCAATAATTTTTCTAAACATTCCAAGGCTTCAATCTGATCCTGAATCTCATGAGGAGAGAAAATTCAATTGTAATTTTTGTATAATTAGTTTAATTGTTCGCATAATCAACAATTTCAACAATTTTCACCAACATAATTGACTTAATCACTTAATGAGCATTAATTCATTTAAAAAAATGCAAAAAAATTATTACTTGAATATATTGAAAACTCGATAATTTAGTTGACATTTAATTGGAATTGACAATTTAATGAATTCAAAGTTTTTTATTATGTTCAATATAAAATTAATTAAGTTTGTTTTCGCTTTCGATTATAATCAAGTGACCAAGATGTAGATTAATTATTATTATTGTTGGTTATTGTCATTAGACTGAATTAAATGATTGTTAATGATTAATTCATGATTATCAAAGTTTAATTGATGATCATGATAGTTATCACCTAATATATGCAATCAAATTACTGTGAATGATTAACATTTTATGATTTACTCTTATTGTTGAAAGTATTACACTTGGTCAGCATAAATCTAATAATTGGTCACCTTGACCATTAAATTATATCAACTAGTCAGCATTAAATTGATGATTTATTACAAGTTGACCGTAATTAATTCAAATTGATCCAAATTAAATTCGATCACTTTTATAAGTCGATAAACTTTAATATCATCAATAAATTGGGTTCAGTTGTGGCAATTAGTGTGATCAACTTTACTTAACCCAAAGTACCAGAAATTTAAGTATTTCCATCAGATAATAATAGAGATTACCAAGAGATTAGAGAGATGAGCTTAATCCCTCTAAGAAATGTGTCAATCATTTTAATAAATTGTTCAAGTTAAATCTTAATCATCATAATCACTCTAATGTGAAGTGATGATAAACGTGACAAAATGATGATACGTGAAGATGATAATGATGAATCAATTTCTCATAATATTGCAGAGAGAAAAGAATAGCAATCTGACAATTTCGAAGGAGAAATAGTTCAAAAACTCGAAACTTTTGACCAATTCTACTAAATCTTTCGAAACTCTTTCTTATCAACTTAGTTTTGATCAACAATTTCCAAGCGAATTAAAGTTTCCCTTCAAATTGAATACCAAATGAGCACAATTGTTAATTGGCTACAAATTAATTACTTTTACTTGTTATCAACTTGATAGATGAAAGTTAATCTAGTTACAGTTATCATTTAAAATTAACTGTTATAATCATGACTGTTAATGACAGTTTATTTGATTTGATTAACTTAATTTTTTTTCTTTACTCTTCATGCTCATCTTTTTAATAGTCTTCGTTGACTCTCCTCTTGAGGTTTAATTGTGAATGATGATAATGATTAAATGCAAGAAAAGAAGAGGAGAAAAGTTTCATTGGAAAATCATCATCATCATGGTAAAAGTAATACAAGATAAATTGTAACCTTCATGATGATGATGATGATGATGATGATAATGACGAAAGAAAAAGTTCTCAACCATTTTGAAAACTTTTTTGTTCTCTTTCTATTAATATAACTGTAATTCTAATAGTTGGAAAAATAGTTTCCAATTCTCACAATGAATTAAGACTTGAATAAGGTTAATTGGTTTCGACTGAGAACTCAATTCAAACTAATATCTATTGTATAAGATGTACCTTGTCATTGAATGTTTCAAATGAAACTGTAGATGACATTTGAGAAGTGGAAAAAGGGTTAAGAGATGAGGTGAAAATGCTGGTTAGTTATAGTTGGTGGGAAAAAGAAATGAACAAAATTAAAATCATTTTGTTTGCCATTTCTTCATGATAATAATGGAATGACATTGAAACAATGTTGGTGAAAAAATAGGAGAGATGAATTAGAAAACTAGAATCAGTTCTGTGTCTCAGTTTGATTGACAGGTAAATATTGTATCCCCGCCATGATAACCAGCAGAGTAATCAAAGTGAAAAATAATAATAATGATAAATTGTTTACAATCAACTGATAAGATTGAATTTAAAGATAAACAAACAATGATAATAAACAATAATGCAATAGACAAGTAATAGTTAAGGTGGTATTTTGATAAATCGTATTCACGGTTTACAAATTTCATGGTGATTTTTTTTGCTCTCTCACCAATATCACACTATTAATAGAAGGAGGAAGATGATGATGATGGGGTGGGATATTTGCTATTATGTGATAGTTTTTTTGCTATGTATGTTTAAAAGAAAAAAAAATTCACAAAGAAAATTATGATTCCATGATAATAATATGTAACATGGATAAAAACTGATTGAAATATCAAAGTTTCCATTCTTATGCAAAGATTACGATATTAAACACCATGAAACCCACCATCATGATTGATGATAAGCAAAAACAAGTTGATCCTTTTTCTGGGTTCTGGTTTTCATCATTATCTCTGGTGTGTTCACACTTTGATTCAGGTTGACACCCTGGGTATTATTTGTATTATATTAAGGTAACACGTACACACAGACAGGCACACAACAGGATAACATACTGATAAACTGAATTTAGGTGCAAATGATTATATATCATGAACAGAATCAAAATAACAAAAGCTAAAGGTACAAAAAGGTACAAAATTATCCCATAGGAATAGTTGTCATTCAGTTCATTTATTTACCATGTTGGTTTTAAGGGTGGGGTTGATATTCATTCAATATATATAAAATATCTAGGTAACAATATAATATGTGTATTAATATATATGATAAAAAAATATTTATATGAAGTGAATGTAACATGAAGATGAAAGCAAAATCTTGCAAACATTTTGACAAAGAGGCAAATAACCTGAGGCAATGTCTTTCAAGTATAATCATCATCATCATGATGGTTGATTGTGTATATTTACCATGAATCCTTGAAGTTTTTTATTCACCCTCTCACTACCAATGCTCCTTATTTCATATTGCACTTTGATTGCTTTGAAATTGAAATTGGTAATCAATAATCAATACTAAACAATCCCAGTCAATCACATGTTTGTTGCATATGTCACAAAAATCTGTAAAATATCACAACAAAAAACATGGTGTCTTTTTTTCAGATCTGCCAATTCACTTGGAATGGTAAATATTACAAGGTTAACATGAAAATATATTAATAATACAATAATATTCATGTAATAGCTTTTTCCCAGTTACTGAAAAGATTCATGAATATTATCATCATGCTCATGGATGAGGTTTAGAACGTGAATTTTTCTCTTGCAACTATTTTCGTTTGCACCATGAAATAGTTTTTCTCTCTCTCTCTTTCTCTCTTTGAGAATCATATTTCCATTCTGTAGATTCATCAATCGTTTCTTTACCTTTTGAATACCTTTACCTGTCATTTAATCATCGCAATAATAATTATCTTTACAATCCCTTAATCTACATGAAAAAAAAACAATACGATAAAAACTTCTTGGAATTTTTTTCCCGAAAGAAAAAATAATAATAACTTTTCTGATCAACATGATACCTTTACATGGTGATTATGATTAACATCAGGATCAATTTCTATGTGATTGTTATCATTCAACATTCATATCATTTTTCATGTTCATATCTTTTCATCATGTTATCCGTTAAAGTATATAACTGATTCACATGAAAAAAAACAGTTTCATGTATTCTCAGGTAGATGATAAGATATTAAGAGTGGAATTGTGATTTGTTATGAATTTACATGAGTAATAAAAAATGGTTTAGAACTTTTTTTCGCCTTCTTTATATTGGATGGAGATAAAATTCTACTCAAGTAAACAAAGTGATAAAGTGAGAATCTTTTCCCACTCCCATCACTTTATTTAGCTCAATGAGTTTAATTGGGAGTGATAAGTGGGAAAAAGAGGCAGTGGGATATTGAGAAATGAGAGGATTCACCGAACTGTTCTTGATCTTTTCAATAACATTATTTATTAGAACAAGTTCTAAATATATTTTTCACTTTTCTCTTATTTTCTTTGCCAACCTTTTCTCTTTTCTCTCAATTGATTTTTTCTTCACCTTTCGAATTCACAATATCTTCCATTTATTAGTAACATTGTACAGAAAAATTTCAAGAACTTAAGTTTATTCCTAAGTAAATTATTATAACTTCTGAATCGGTGAATTATTGTTAGAATGATAATACTTTTTTTTCTGCAAAACAACTCGACGAAAAGTAAAAGATGGTTTTAACAGGTATATTACACAGAACTCATTCAGATGATGAACATGCTAAGTCATTAAAATCTCATATTCTTATCTATATATCATGATAAGAATAACTCGAGTTTTCCATGGTAATGTAACAATCTTATCATCTGTTGTTACGAATTCGTTGTATGACAACTTTATGAGAAGAAGAAAAGAGAAAAAAAAGTTCTAATCTTATTATCATCGGTTTTTCCATGTACAAAATAAAATTCTGAAGATGGTGGAACAAAAAGTTCTTGAAAGAGATTAGTTCTGATTCTATTCTCATCTTTTCTCCCTGCAAAATTTTCATTCTTCATAAATCTACTACATAAACGTCTCAAGTTGTGATCTAATTCAGTACATCTCTTGATGACAATTAGTTTATTCAGTTACCATGAATCTCCATTAGATCAACATAATGTCCCATTTTTTTAGTTATCATTGAATATCAGGTAAATTCTGAAACTTTTAGACCCATTGAAATGAGCAATAAAAGATATCGATGATTAATATTTCATTGAAACAAAGTATTAGTTTTTTTGTTTTAAAGTTTCGAATTATTTTCCAAAGTATTTTCATGAGAATCCAGAATACTTCATGATATTTATATCACAAGAAAGTAATAAATATTATATGGAAACAATAATAGTTATAATAAATCATGAAATAATATTCAATGCGATTATTATTGAGTATTCATTGAGGAGCGATTTTCGATAGAAAAAAAGTAATAATAATTTAAAATCATCTGATTCCATGATAATAATGAAGATTCATATTATTCATTAATCCATTTTCAACTTGAAAATCAATCGTGTTCACAGTGTGAATCAGAATTGAAACAAAAACGATTGAATTTGTTTCGTTTAA